ACATGACAAGCCACAGGGGATGGATAGGGGGTGGGGGGTGATTCGAAGGAACACAGCAGTCGTCCTGCACCTTGCTACCATTTCAGCGCGGCACGCAGACCCGCTGCCTTCCCCCGCAGGAAACAAGCATCAAAGGCGTTTGGAAGACAGGGGGATGAGTGCGTGCTTATCAGTGTAAGTGTATGTGTGTGCGTGGCCATAGTTCAGCTGAGACAGTGTCCTTCGCTCTATCAGGCTAAGTAAACAGTCCTCCAGCCGATCCAGGTGTCCTTCATGGGATGGGAAGAATAGTCATCACACAGTCGTAATCAGGGAGTTGTTTTGGTGGGCTCCAGCCTTGGGCCTGCAGCTGGCGCCGTGGTGTCCAAATGTAGAATATTGTTGATTTCTCCTTTATGCGAGCAGCGAATTTAGCACTCTGACACTGGGGCCTCGATTTCCCATTGGAGCGCTGCGAGCCTCCCCATGATGGTATCAAGCTTCTGTTCCGTGGTGTTGTCATTCTTTTGGTTCTGAGACCCCACAGCTGCAGTGAGCCGTTCTGCGATGTTATCCAACTTTCGCTCAAGGGTGTTATTGTGAGCAGGCCCCTCTCTGATGTATCCCATCATACGCTCAATGGTGTTAGTTTGAGTCTTCACGGCAGCTGTAAGCGTCTCCAAGGTGTTAACCATGCTGCGTTCGGCGTGGGAGGCCGCGCCTCGTCCCATCGCTTCAATTCCAGCGGTCAGCTTAGGGGGGTTTGAACAGCTGGTTCCGCTCTCTTATTTCTCCGATAAGTCAGGGCCAAGCCAGCTCCGATCAGCAAGAACCCTGTTATCATGGTTCCGAATAGGTAAATATCCTCAGCGTCCTCGATAGACAGTCCCGCCAGGCACAAGATCCTCCAGGTCTGCCGCCCATCCATCGTGTATCCGGCAGGGAAAGTCCCTCCAGGGCACTCGGGCTCTCCCGAGCCCAGACTTCTCGTTGAGAAGAGGGTGTCAATAGCGTTCAGAGACCAGTTGATCAAATCTATAATTCTCTGTTAGGTTTTAGAGAACGACAGTGAGAGACTGTTCCAGGGAAAAGTAGTGCACGCGAGACAAGACAGGACACAAGAGGCTAAGCAGGGAAGATAAGGGGAAGGAGGAGAGGAGAAGAGTGCGACCGCCTTCACCGAGAGCCAAGTAAGAAGTGATACACAAAGAGCATTTCATAGCCATAGCTATGCCTTGTCGGCAGAGTTATGTGACATTAGTGATGTTTGTACTTTCAGCGTTAACTTGGTTTTAAAGCCTTTAAAATATACGCCGTTCAATAGTCGACCTTAATCTGACAGAGAATGTGATGATTTTGTGGATAATTAAAGTCAGTCATATATCCACAAACACAACAAGCTGAAAGTCAGTGATGCTGCTCGGTTTGCAGTCCTGAACATCACGGCACAAGCAGGATTCACTGCACTGTTAATGTGAGCTGTGTTATATTGCTGCCTCTGTTCGGTGGTGTCGAGCCAAACGGACTTTAACGTGTGTTTGAACGAGCTGACGGTTCACTCGTTAAGCTGAAAGAAAGATGCTTTAATCACAGCAGTCACACATGTGTCCACTGCACCACCTGGAACTCTTCTTGTTTACACTCGTAATAACACAAACACTAAATCCTGCTTCTCTGCTGCTGTTGTGTAGCAGTGTGTACACCTGAGACTGTCACCTGTCTGTCTGTCCTGCACTCTCTCTCTGTTTCTTTCTCTCTGATTGTGGAATAAAAGTATGAACATGTGTTTATAAGTTAGACTTGTGTCTGAATCCTGCAGCTTATCACACATTTGATTTCCATGTGTGACGACTGCAAGTGTCCAGAGTGAGGACAGACTGAGGGACCCACTGCTGCACATCATCTGTGAGGCTTTGCAGCCCTGATGATCCACCAGGACAAACTCAGCAGTGTGTGAGGAAGAGGAGGAGGAAGAGCCAGCAGCAGCTGACAGATGGAGAGAATAGACAGACTGTTCCCTGTTTGTGAAGGACTGCTAGGAAAGTTTAACATGACTGTCTGTCCTGAATCAGTCTTATTAGGTAATGTTCAAATAATGTGATGATCCCAGTGTTTTCAGTGTGGGAGAAAGTACTCAGGGCCTTCAAGCTACACACTATGAAAGGCAGCAACAAGTTTAATGTTCAGAAACCTAAAGTCTGTATCAGCAGCAGAATGGAGCTAAAATAAATGTTGGTTTCAGTTCTATGAAGCTTTGAGTATTTTGGATCAGTAGCTGCTGTGTTTGTTGCATCATATTGCTGTAACTGTTTATATGCTTTATATGATGTTGAGATGTTAAATGATTTGGTGCAAATGAAAAAAGTAGGAGTTTAATGAGTTTAGAATAAACCTGCAAGGATACTTGTCTCTGTGATGCTGAATACTTTATTACACTTGTGAGTTGCAGTTGGTTGCAAATGTGAAGTTTGATTTAACAGATTTGTCTTCTAGGATACAGGCTCTGGGTGGAGCTGGGAGTTAAACAAGCTAAACATTTAATTGCTGACTAATGTTTTTACACAGGGTTACAGCTTGGAGTGAAGCTGCTCCAAGTGGGAAACCCTGGGTCAGATATAAACCAAGTTTAGGTGGAGTTTGTTTTCATTGTGCTGACGTTTTACAGTCAGTTACAATAACTCGTACTGCGTGCTAGCTAGCATGACAGAGTTTATATACAGCTGGGTGGGTGCTATGATGTTACTGATAGTGAACTTTATTTTATTCATAAGGTTAGTTAGTAGAGTTGTAAACCGTCCCATACAAACGGAGTTGCCACATTCAGAGAAAATATTACGCGTTTCATATTGAGATGAGAAGGAGCACAGTTTGTCCCGGACTTCAGCTAGAATAGAAAAAGACAAAGCTGGATTTATTCTGTCGTTACGCTGCACAGCTGCCTCTTCTTCTCTCATTCAATCATGAAACTGATCAATGATCAGCTGATCGGCTTTTCTCTCTTGTTTGTTTATCGCCCACTTTGCGCCAGAAAGAGGAAACCAGCGGATGTCGCGCTAAACAACAGCAGCACGTTTAAGCTTGATCAGCTGTTGTTAGAATTTATTTAATATTAATTTCTAGTATCAGCTGATGTTTGCTGGAGCCACAGCTATAAAGCTGCTGGTCATGATGTCGGTTTGGATATCTGGTGAGAGGGAAACATGAAGATGAAACCAGGAGATGTCCTTACTGAATCATCAGAGCTGAACAGGTGATGGAGAAACAGGTTTACCTTTTAGGTGACATGAATGAGCTGAAGTTATGAACTGTTTCTGAGAGACAAATAACACCAGGATCCTTTTTTAGGTAGCTGACAGCTGGTAACTGTGCAGGGGCGGGTCTAGCAAAGTGTTGCCAGGGGCCAGGAAGGGCATTAACAAGGAGAGGGGGGACAAAGAAATACTTTTCTTTCTTATTCTCATTTTAAATGTCTCGCTTTTATTAAATAATTATCTGAATCTTACAACCAAAGTTTTTATCAGATGTAAAATGTATAGAAATCACACATATACCAACAAGACTGTACATCACTGTCACAACAGCATTTGTTTTCATTCAAAGGCTTTATGGCTTTAATACCTGGGGGGCCAGTCTCTAGTCAAAATGCCCAGGCTGATTTTTTTGTCCCAGTCCAGCCCTGGGCACGACACGCAGTGAGTTAATCTGAGCAGGTGCATTAAAAAATGAATGGCTGGGACAGCGGTGCACATCGCAAATTAGCTCGCATAGACACATTAGTTGTGCCGCTTCTTAATGACGGTATCTTAGCTAACAACCCCAACTACCAGATTCAACTTGTAATTGGCTAAAACTAACTTAGCCAACTGGTGAGAGGGACGTTGCTAGCTGGCAGTTTTTTCAAGCGATGTTGAAATTTCCACATTCCAACACTTCAAAAGCTTCAGGAGCTCTCCGCTCAGCTCTGCAACTGTTAATATAGAGCGTTATTAAATTTATTGCTAATGCAATCATATGGCACATTGACTTCTGAGGAAATTTTAGATGGGACTCGTCATCAAAAAGGTTGCCGACCCCTGCTTTAAAATGTCACTGTATGTGTATGTGTGTTTGTGTTTTATGTGTATAGACTTTAAAAAATATATTACTGATGATATAACATTGTCCAGACATGCTCTGTAAGGACATGATGAGGAAGCAGTGACAGAAGAAGCTGTGTGAGGCAGCGGATCCCTCAGCAGCTGGATTACAAAGAGCACAGGTAACAATAACATCTGTACCAGGTGTTGCGTTGCAGAGGTATTCAAGTATAAAAACAATAATAAACACAATGTGTTGGTTCTATAACCTCTTTCAAGAGTTGCTAAGTGTGAATAATTAAATAATAATTAATCCAATAGCAGATTGTGCCTTGTTCTCCGATGGACAGCAGGTGGAGAGTGATAGATGGAGGAAGAGAGGCAAAGAGTGAGTCACAGGCAGAGCTTGGTTTATTTCTCACTGTTTTGTTGTCTTATGGTTCCAAGCGCTGTCACCAATCTTTGCATTTTATTATTATCTCATAACACTTAATCACACTTTAATCAGCTACCATCTCTCCTGTGGACTCTTTAATGTCTACAGGCTCAGATCAACACAGCCCTGCCCTCCTGCACTATCAGCAGCAGGACCAGCAACTCTTCAACAGCAACATTGTACCCATCAGGTAAAACATGGGCTACATTTGCTTTGCATTGTCCCCACCTGGTGACAGTGATATAGTATGATGTGATTCCATATTTGATTCTTGGGTTGTTGTTATTTAGCCTGGTTCTATGTGCCCCTTTAACTTTCAAACATCTCTGCACAGCCCTGCTCTCGATCCTTTAGTAAAACCAAAACCTTTAGAAGTCTTTATTCAGGATTTTACTCCAGTAACTGGTACATCCTGCTCCAGTCTGAAGTCGCACAAAAAAAGACTCACAGAGATTATGAATGCACAAATCACACAATTGTGTTTTATTTTTCCAAGGTATATTGTTTTAATATAAAAACTTGCCAAACATACTATATTTAATGAATTAAGTCACAATTATATTGCTATGCTTTATCTTAAAAAACAAACATCATTCTTGTAAAACTTGATATGCTATGCCTTTTCACTTTCTTTTGGTTGTCTTGTTAGCAGATCCATTATACTGACACAAACAGTAAAAGCGAAAATGACAGAAATACTAAGTAAACACTAAAACTGCACATCTCATACAATAAGGCTTTGAAAGAATGGAATATTGACAAAACATAGGTGTGCATCACACAATGTTCCTGACACCTGTAAAAAAAGGAAGGCATAAAAGTTATTAGAAACGAACAGCTGGATTTGAAGATAACCCAAGGAAACGTCAGCTCACACAGGTTGTCTCACAAACTTTCAAGACAACCTGTGGCTACATCCAGGGTGACGATGCTTTAGTGGGCCACTAGTTTGCAGAAAGCACATTAACTAGGCAAAACAAAAAAAAGTGTGTTGGGGGAAAACTCTGTAAAAGACCCAGGAGAAATAAAGACACAATGAGACAAAGTTACTTTTTTTATCAAACGTGTACAAGTTTGTAAGCTCTGCAACTGAATCTTACCTCTTATTCTGATGGGTCTGTGTTCACAGAATGATGCAAAGTCTCCTTCAGCTGAAACACAGGATACACAATCCACAGTAAAAAGCAAGATCACATTCACGTAAATATTGTAAATCATTCTGTCAGTTATCTAGGTTTCAAGAAAATGTCACTAGTTCTAATGTCAAACTCCCGTGTACCATCTTAAATTAAAAAATGCCTCATAAGCTGAGGAGTTCATGTAAAATGTGGATTTTCTGAAAAGTTACATTAATTTAATACTCATATTTAAATTTTTCATAGTATAATTAGTCACGTGGACAGTTTAGAAACGTCTTCTATTTCACAATCAGGTTCAATTTAAGAGCTCGTAGTGCAGGCAGCCGAAGATATAGAACCCATAACTTTTGTCACAGTTCGGCTGTGTGGCAGGCAGGATTTATCAACACATGAGAAGATAAAAATGGGATTTTTTTTCTTACTCTCTGCAAGAAGCCTACTATGTCTAGCTTGTCTGCTTTGGTGGGAGAGCCGCCCTGACCATCACAGATGCTCTCAGACCCAGGAAGTGACTGTCTGTTGGAATCCAGTCCAGGTTTCAGAGTCTTCCAGCCTTTCCAATCAGAAATGTGGCTACTCTGTATGTCAGCTGCCGTGAGCAAGGGTAGCAAAGAGCACTGAGTGGCTACTGTCCTGTTGGGCATTGGTTTAGATGATGGTGTGGGGACTGTTCCAGGTAGAAAGACTTTAAGTTGAGAGCAGAGGAGAGACTGTTCATCCAGCAATCTGTGCATCTTCTACTCCAAAACACAGAATCAGAAAACATAAAGTTAAAAAAAACAAAAATATATCGGCCTGCCGATCTGTCTCAGGAGATGAATTTTGTTACCATTTTCAAGCTTTCATCATACTCATAGGCCAGTTCTTTTAACTGCCTCTCCAGCTCACCAGCCTCTCGTTTTACTGCACGCCTCAGCTCTTCGATGTCCCGAATCTTCTCTCTAAACACGCACAACACACACACATTTATTGTTGGGTGCATGAAACTGTATGGTAATTATCACCATGCCAATGCTCGAAGCTGGTTATCATGTGGACCAAAAACAATTAAGTGTTTTCCAAGTGTACACTCATAGTTACACTGCAATGGATGCATCTGGGGCAATTCAGGGTTCAGTATATTGGCCAAGGATCCAGAAAATGCTCCAATAAATAAATATTGGTGATCATTTAAAACTGCTAAATTACTACCTATGCTAATGAATTCCCAGGGTCTATAACTTGAAAAAATAGTATGAAGATAAAATATATGACATATTCCATAAGCAAAAAGAACAATCTGATTCTGAGGTGGGCAGACAGTCAGAACGTTATTAGCACCTCACTCACTGATTCTATGATAAAGCTGCACGTCTACTGCATTCTCGTAAAACAGAGAAATTCCAAGAGAGTGACACAACAGCAGAACCATAACTACCATGTGTGGGAAAAGCTTTTAGGACCTCACTTTTTTGCAAGATCTGGGACCCAGACTAATGTTTTTGTCAGATTTGACTTGTGATTCTATACGTGCAGTTTTTATATTAAATTAAGGTTAAAAATGAATACTTTAAAGAACAAAATATATTTAATTCCTAGACGCGGTTCAAGTGGACTGCTAACTGATAAAACCTGTTTCTGAAAGGACTTTGGTTGTGCCTGTAGCCAGAACACACTAGAAATGTATAAACTATTGTTTGTACCTGTCCTGGTCAGAGAGACAACTGAACACAGCAGCCTGGTCTTCAGAGAGTTGCTCCTCCATGTTACTTAGCACAGACCAAAACTGCTGCAGACACAGCAACATCTCCTCCAGCTCATCCAGAGAGTACTATAGAGAACAAAGACACAGTTATCATTAAAAAAAGAAAACACCTATCTGTCGAAGACATTTCTCCGATAAGCTTCTTCAGTTCTAACAACAGACGGTGGAAAGTCCCAGGTGTTTAGGCCCTAGTGAGACTTGTCACTAAAGAGGGTTTTCGACCTACTATTGATCATAGTCTCATCACATGAGCCATGGAAACTGTATTCCCTGGATACTACGGAAAAAAATGGTTCACCAGTGGTTTGAAGAGCACAAAAACAGGTTTTAGGTGTTGACTTGGCCTCCAAATGATCCAGTCTCAGTCCAATCAAGCAAATGTGGGCCTCCATGGATAAGACTTCTTTGGCAGTAGTTGGGACCAAGAAGTCTGATCCAGCAAAGAGGCCCCACCTTTGCTGGATCAGGTGCAGAATTTGAAGAATTTCTTGCTAACATCTCGCTGCCAGATACCACAACACTCCTTCACACAGCTTAAGGTTGGTTTGTTTTATAATACACATTATACTTTTGATGGATATGTTATCAAATATGTTACTAAATATTAATTATAGTCTGTTAGTAATAATCCAGTTGCACAAGTGACACAACAGAGAGCATTATTTCTTAACAAGATAGAAGTATATATTGATGTTTTCATGGCTCAAGTGTCTCTTTAATTCAGTTCAATTCAATTTTATTTATATAGCGCCAAATCACAACATAAGTCGCCTCAAGGCGCTTCATAGATACAGAGAAAAAACCCAACAATCATATGACCCCCTATGAGCAGCACTTTGGCAACAGTGGGAAGGAAAAACTCCCTTTTAACAGGAAGAAACCTCCGGCAGAACCAGGCTCAGGGAGGGGCGGCCATCTGCTGCGACCAGTTGGGGTGAGAGAAGGAAGACAGGATAAAAGACATGCTGTGGAAGAGAGACAGAGGTTAATAACAAATATGATTCAATGCAGAGGTTTCTATTAATACATAGTGAGTGAGAAAGGTGACTGGAAAGGAAAAACTCAATGCATCATGGGAATCCCCCGGCAGCCTATGTCTATTGCAGCATAACTAAGGGAGGATTCAGGGTCACCTGGTCCAGCCCTAACTATATGCTTTAGCAAAAAGGAAAGTTTGAAGCCTAATCTTAAAAGTAGAGATAGTGTCTGTCTCCCGAATCCAAACTGGAAGTTGGTTCCACAGAAGAGGGGCCTGAAAACTGAAGGCTCTGCCTCCCATTCTACTTTTAAATACTCTAGGAACAACAAGTAGGCCTGCAGAGCGAGAGCGAAGTGCTCTAATAGGGTGATATGGTACTACAAGGTCATTAAGATAAGATGGGGCCTGATTATTTAAGACCTTGTATGTGAGGAGCAGGATTTTGAATTCAATTCTGGATTTAACAGGAAGCCAATGAAGGGAAGCCAAAACAGGAGAAATCTGCTCTCTCTTTCTAGTCCCTGTCAGGACTCTTGCTGCAGCATTTTGGATCAGCTGAAGGCTTTTCAGTGAGTTTTTTGGACACCCTGATAATAATGAATTACAGTAGTCCAGCCTGGAAGTAATAAATGCATGAACTAGTTTTTCAGCGTCACTCGGAGACAGGATATTTCTAATTTTAGAGATGTTGCACAAATGGAAGAACGCAGTCTTACATATTTGTTTAATATGTGCATTGAAGGACATGTCCTGGTCAAACATGACTCCAAGGTTCCTCACAGCGTTACTGGAGGCCAAGGTAATGCCATCCAGAATAAGAATCTGATTAGATACCATATTTCTAAGCTTTTCAGGGCCGAGTACAATAACCTCAGTTTTATCTGAATTACGAAGCAGAAAGTTAGCGGCCATCCAGGTCTTTATGTCTTTACTGGTATTGGCCAGAGGGGCCGATGGCGCGATATGGCAGCCTCGCTTCTGTCAGTCTGCCCCAGGGCAGCTGTGGCTACAACTGTAGCTGTCTCCACCAGTGTATGAATGTGAGAGTGAATGAATAGTGGTATTGTAAAGCGCTTTGGGTGCCTTGAAAAGCGCTATATAAATCCAATCCATTATTATTGTTATTATTTAAGACATTCCTGCAGTTTAACTCATTGGTGTGTGTTATCTGGCTTCATGGACAGATAGAGCTGGGTGTCATCTGCATAGCAGTGTAAATGTATGCTATGTCTTCTAATGATACTGCCTAAGGGAAGCATGTATAATGTAAACAGAATTGGTCCTAGCACTGAACCCTGTGGAACTCCATAATTAACCTCAGTGTGTGAAGAGGACTCTCCATTTACATGCACAAATTGGAGGCTATTAGATAGATATGATACAAACCACTGCAGTGCAGTACCTGTAATACCTACAGCATGTTCTAATCGCTCTAATAGGATATTATGGTCAACAGTATCGAACGCTGCACTAAGGTCTAGCAGGACAAGCACAGAGATGAGTCCACTGTCAGAGGCCATGAGAAGATCATTTGTAACCTTCACTAAAGTTGTTTCTGTGCTGTGATGAGCTCTGAAACCTGACTGAAACTCTTCAAATAAACCTCTGCAGATGATCTGTTAGCTGTTTGACAACTACTCTTTCAAGGATGTTTGATATAAAGGAAGGTTGGAGATTGGCCTGTAATTAGCTAAGACTGCTGGGTCTAGAGATGGCTTTTTGAGTAAAGGTTTAACTACAGCCAGCTTGAAGGCCTGTGGTACATAGCTGATCATTAGAGATAGGTTGATCATATTTAAGATCGAAGAATTAATTAATGGCAGGACTTCTTTGAGCAGTTTTGTAGGAATGGGGTCTAAAAGACACGTTGATGGTTTGGAGGAAGTAATTATTGAAGTTAGTTATACTTTAGTGTTGTATTTTTCATACTTTGGATTTCTCTGTCTTTGGCTACACTACGGTTGGTAGAAAAAGCTTTTCTTGTGTAATAGCTAGCTAATTACTCACTGATGTATACACAGTAGACCTTTCCAGGACTGGACTTCTAATCTGGCATACCGAGCAGTTGCCCAGTGGGCCGATGCAAACTTGTGGGCAGAGATTACAGATTAGATTCATGCAGATTAATAGCATGCTCTGTGGTCAAATGGTTCTGCATGTGGGGTCATTACTAAAAAACATATTACAAAGAACACTTTTGTTAAAAGTAAAGCAATATGTTACTCAATTACTCCAAGGAGAAAGTAATTTAATATACTACTCATTACATAACTTTTAATGTTACCCACTTAAATAGCTGAAACAAACTGTCTCAGGACCTCAAATTGGCTTAGTAAGCTCAGTGACCCCTGACCTACATACACAGGTGAATCCAATAATGACAAAGAGTATTTAAGGGGGTCAATTGTAATTTTCCCTCGTCTTTTAATTTTCTCTGAAGAGTAGCAACACAGGGGTCTCAAAACAACTCTGAAACGACCTGAAGACAAAGATTGTTCATCATCATGGTTTAGGGCCAGTGTTGGTCAAGTTACTTGAAAAAAGTAATCAGTAACTAATTACTGATTACTTCCCCCAAAAAGTAATCCCGTTACTTTACTGATTACTTATTTTCAAAAGTAATTAATTACTTAGTTACTTAGTTACTTTTTAAAACACGATTTACAACCTGAAGAGGTGATAAAGCGATAGATCTTTCAGCCCAGTTCTACTTTTTCTACATAATCCATCATACAAAATGTAGTTAAAAGGAAAAGTCTCTTTTTTTTTAACTTGTTTTATTAGTTTTAATCTTTTAACTTTATGCATCAAGCAAACATTTAATTATCTGCAACATTCTCTGACTTGAATAAATTAGTTTAACATTTAAACCTATTTTCTGCACATTCCAGCTCATAAAATAAAAATATTTTTTGTGTTTACACTCACTCTTTCAAATAGATGCAAGTAAAACACAGCAGAAAATAAATAAAGTCAAAGACTCAGCGGTCCTGTTGCTCTATTTTCACCTGTAAAGCAGGAGTGGGGTAGGCGGAGGTTTACCCTGGTGCAGGTGTGCCGCGGTCAGTGGAAGAACCCGCGAGTTTCTCTGTGAGTTTCCCATTACGTCGTGGGGCACTCGGTGCTTGTTTGGAAGTTTAGGGGGTTTTTTCGCTGTAAAAAGAAGTTTTCTTCCCACACACAACGGACACTAATGTTTTTGTCACTTTTTATGGAATCAAACTCAAAGTCAGGTCAGTACTTCCACGCTTTAAACGCTGCACGCTCATACTCTCTCTGCACTAGATATATGATCCATTGTTGATCTGCACACAGCTGTTGTCACTAACAGCGCACTTGCTTACGTCACTATCGTGAGACATTCTGGCAAAAAATCAAGGTTTTAGTAACACAGTAACGCAGCGTTACTACGGGAAAGTAACGGTAATCTAATTACAGTTTTTGCAATACTAATCCCTTACTTTACTCGTTACTTGAAAAAAGTAATCAGGTTACAGTAACGCGTTACAAGTAACGCGTTACAAGTAACGCGTTACTGCCCATCTCTGTTTAGGGCAGCGGTTCCCAAACTTTTTTTGCTGGGCCCCCCTTTGTTTTACAAGAAAAATGTTCGCGCCCCCCTGCGTGCACGCACGCACTAACACATCCTCCAACCACACACACCCATATTTTGCTCCATTGTGGTTTATTTCACACCTCAAACATTTAGTAAATAATTAAGCAAATACAAGTAATCTGCAATAAATTACAGGTAGTAAGAAAATAAACTACTAACTCTTTTACGCTACGTCCGCACCTACATGGGTATTTTTGAACACGCAGCTGTTTCGTCCACGTAAACGGCGTTTCAAATCACCGAAAACTGAGATTTTTTTAAACTCCTTTTTTTTCGTTTATGTGTGGACGAGGAATACAGAGTTCGTCACGCAACGTCAAAGGTATGTGTCTTTTTTCACGACACGCTGTGGCCGCGTTATTGTTTACATGAGATGAATTGCAGAATGGCAGATAGAGACAAAATACTGTTAATCTGACTGTCTGCAGGTTTTACACGCAGTTACTGTCCCTCCATTTAGAAAGGCAGAGGCGTCACGGTGTGATTATTTTACTGTAGCTGTTTTTTTTTCCTGTGTAATAATATTCAACATTGCATCAATACATTATTCAAAAAATGCCTCTCTGTGCAAAATGGGTTCAAAAACATAAACAACTGTGGGATCCTGTTTGTCCGTGATTTGAAGAGCCCAGCGCTGCTCCCGACGAAGGGAAAACCAATCCTGCAGGGAGACCTACCTCGGCACTTGTGCAGGTGAAGCCAAAGGGCAGATTTGCTTCACCATATTTTCTAGTCTTTGGCTTAGAATGAAGTTGGTTTGGAAACATATTCAGCGATGCTTCATCTCCTGCTTTGCGTTTCTGTGGGCACCCCGTGCTAGCAGTGTACAAGCGTTTTGTTACCCCCCCCCAGCCTTTTCATACCGCGCCCCCCTAGGGGGCGGGCCCCACACTTTGGGAAGGTCTGGTTTAGGGGAAGGATACAGAAAGCTGTCTCAGAGGTTTAAGCCGTCTGTTTCCACAGTTAGGAACATATTGAGACAATGGAAGACCACAGGCTCAGTTCAAGTTAAGGCTCAAAGTGGCAGACCATGAAAAATCTCGGATAGACAGAAGCGACGAATGGTGAGAGCAGTCAGAATCAACCCACAGACCAGCACCAAAGACCTACAACATCATCTTGCAGCAGATGGAGTCACTGTGCAGCGTTCAACCATTCGGCGCACTTTACACAAGGAGATGCTGTATGTGAGAGTGATGCAGAGGAAGCCTTTTCTCCGCCCACAGCACAAACAGAGACACTTGAGGTTTGCTAAAGCACATTTGGACAAGCCAGCTTCATTCTGGAGTAAGGTGCTGTGGACTGATGAAACTAACATTGAGTTATTTGGGCATAACAAGGGGCGTTATGCATGGAGGAAAAAGAACACAGCAGTCCAAGAAAAACACCTGCTGCCTCCAGTAAAATATGGTGGTGGTTCCATCATGCTGTGGGGCTGTGTGGCCAGTGCAGGGACTGGGAATCCCTTCATAGTTGAGGGACACATGGATTCCACTCAGTATCAGCAGATTCTGGAGAATCAGTGACAAAGCTGAAGCTGCGCCGGGGCTGGATCTTTCAACAAGACTACGACCCGAGACACTGCTCAAAATCCACTAAGGCATTCATGTAGAGGAACAAGTACAACGTTCATCTCAGTCCCCAGACCTGAATATTATTGAAAATCTGTGGTGTGAGTTAAAGAGAGCTGTTGATGCTCGGAAGCCATCAAACCTGAATGAACTAGAGATGGTCCAAAATACCTTCAACCACAATCCAGACTCCCATTGGAACCTACAGGAAGTGTTTAGAGGCTGGAATTTCTGCAAAAGGCGGATCTACTAAATATTGATTTCATTTCTTTTTTGTGGAGCCCAAATTTATGCACCTGCCTGATTTTGTTAAAACAATTATTGCGCACTTTCTGTAAATCCAATAAACTTCATTTCACTTCTCAAATATCACTGTGTGTGTCTCCTATATGATATATTTAACTGACATTTTTTATTGTAACAACCAACGATTTATATAAGAAAATAATGACTATTAACAAGGTTGCCCAAACTTTTGCATCCCACTGTATAATCTTTATCTCAATATTTGGATCTATAATTTTATAATTTTGCTCTCCAATGCGTCCATCAGAGTGTGAATGTGTGAATGTTTTTAGATTGCACTTGAGTATAGAAGTGTTTGTATGAGTAGGTGTGAATAGGTGAATGAGGCATGTTGTATACAGTGTTTTGAGTCCTCAGAGAGAGTAGAAAAGCGCTATATAAGAATCAGTCCATTTATATAAGAATCAGTCAATTTACATGAATCCAACACCACAAAGCAAAAGTGAAAACCAGCAAAACGATATTTCAAACCAATTATCACAGTGATTTTTCTTTAGAAACATAAGCAGGTAGAAACAGAAGCTGCAGCAGGACCTCTCATGAGTTTGGTCAGCTTTCACACAGCTTTCAGCTTCCATCACTCTGGACTTTTGGCTAGCTTAGTGTTTGCATGCCGTCTTGCTATCTTAGCATTAGCATGCTGTCTGTGCAGATGCTTGCAAAAAGCCAAAGTGATGTTAGCAGCATAATGCAGCTGTTTCTGTCCTGGAGGCAGCTTCCGCTTTACCATCGCTCACATCCTTTTGTGCAATAAAAATAAAAGTTGTCCATATACACTAGCATTTTCCTCCTCTGACAAATGAAGTCAAATCACCTAGTTGTAGTGTAACCAATAAGCAAGATTGATAGGCAAACAGCCTAACAATTCCAAGGAACTGTGCTTCTGGAACCGGTTCTTGATTTCCATCCCTAATAAACAGCGCTGGACTGGTTATCCGGCATACCGGGGATTTTCCCAGTACTTTTAGGCCAATGAGTTGAATGCATTGGGACAATGAAAGATGTGCAACCTCGGGCGCTGACAGTAGCCCATTTGTTCATTTTCATTAATGACACTTTTTTGCCCAATCAAATCTCATAACGCAACCGGGCGCTCCCCTATCTTCGCTGTGTGTTCACGCACCTTGTAGAACAGATTATTGTGTGGAAGATTATTGTGTGGAAGATTATTGTTAGATTATTGTGTGGAAGAATGGCCGAAAAGGTGGAGCTCAAAAGCTAAAACAGAAAAAAAAAAGAAGAAACTAACAATAAATGTAGCAAAGTGTTTCAAATTAATGACATTAGCTTTTGGTGATGTTGCACTGTCAACAGTAGTACCAACAACAACTAGTAACCAGCCCTCACGGTCACAGGAGGCTGCTGTTTTTAGCACCAGATGTGGAGAAGTGTAGGAGGAGTGAAGCAGGGTTTTTTTGTGTGTGATTTGATTTCTTGAGCAAACATGATGGGCTGCCTGAAACAAAATTACCAGTCCCATTCTAGCCTTGCAAATAAATAAATAGGTTTCAGTTAGATTGCAGGGTTGCCGCACACCAGCCCCACAAGCACTGACAGCAGCCCATTCTTGCCCAATCAAATCTCTTAATGCAACCATCCCTGCCCCTACCTACCCTGTGTGCCTTATTGAAAAGTTTCATGTGGAAGAACTGGTTGATACAGGCAAACTCACAGTCATAAGAACCTTCTGTTGGTAGTACCAGCTGTGGGGAAGTGCAGGATGAGGGACAGCAGTCCCAATAACTTTAGTCCTCGGGCCCTAAAAGTTCAGAATGGAACTCAAATTCTAAACTACTTTCATCAGACACTGCCTATCGGCCTTGTTCTGAACCTGAAAAACTGTAAGACTATAGACGTAAAATAAAACCAAACCTTACTCACTGTGGTGCTTGAATACATGTAGTCCAGCAACTGAAGTTATACGTAAAAGGGTGTGAATTTTATATGAGGGTATCAACATAAATCTATTTGGCTAAATACACAAAATTAAGTAAGGATACTGGACAGTGTGGTATTACTCACAGGACTGTTTCCGAAAGTGGGTTCCTTGTTGTTACTCTTGTGAATACAGCAGGTATGGTCACAGGAGCAGCAGCATGCCATGGTGTCTTGCTGATTGCCCTCCCAAAGTTGCTTCTGAGTTTCATTTCCATTTCTGTTCATGTCTTCTTCCTGCTCATCCGGCCACAATCCTGTATCTACAGATACTGACTCTGGCTTACAATTTATAGCCATCTCAGGGATAGTCTCCTGTGATTTCCAATTATTAGACAGGTGAAAGAAAGAAGGAGATGAAGAGAAGAGCTCTTGATGTGTTGGTCTTTGTGTCATTCCTGGGCAACTCATGCACAAATTTGTTTTGTTTGGAACAGCATGAAGAGCCCCATATGATAAATTCTTGGTCAGAGTATTGCGCTGAATTTGCAGGTCTGTCCATGACTGGACAGCACGAAAGGGGCTGGAGGTGTCCAAAGGTAGAATGATAGGGAGACGAGTGCTTTTTGACTCAGGAGTGTATGGAACATCCTTTCTGTGGACAATATGAGAAGACAGATATGACGGCATTTGAACCGAAACAGAACGATTTGATGGTCTGACATTCGGGATTGCAGACTGGGATATGGATGTCAGTGAGGAAGGTACATCCAAGGAGCCATTTGCAGCTCTTGAGGTCTGGCCTCTGTCTGTGTTCGCTGAGTATGACATCGGTAAAGGGATGGCATTGCCTGTGGAAGAAAATGAATCTACAGGAAGATTTCCAGGAGTTCCATCTGAGATTTCAAAGCTTCCTGACGCTTCAGGGGTTGGATTGGACAACTGGATGGGTTCTGCCCAATAGACTCGCCCTTCAGTATCAAGCTGCTGAAAAAAGTCATCTAAATCTATATTCTCATTGTCAGAGTCATCTACTGAGGTTTCAAAAACCAGATCTAAGTTCTCAATTGCAATGAGATTATTGGGTTTTACTTCATCTCCACTGTGTGCCTGTGCAACTTGATTGTGTAAGCGTATGTAACTCCCGGGTGATTCACTTTCTTTACCAGCAACGTGTTTTTGATAGAGTTTTCTAATATCGTTGTGTTTTGTCTTTGCTGACATGTCATCATGCACAGTAGAGGAGTTGACCAGTGTATCCATTTCTGACTGGCTTTCTACTTCAGAAGGTGAAGGTGCAGAACCTTCTGACAGATTAGCGGGAGTTTCTGTGTCTGAGATGTAAACGACAGCTTCTTGAGAAAGTTGGGGACCGTGTCCCTCACTTTTTTCCTGTTGTTTTTCATTCCTCTGAAATTTTTCCAACAGTATATCATTCATCTTGGCATTTGTACCATTTTGGATCTGACAGGATAGAGCAAGATCATTGTTATCATTGTGAGAATGCTGTCTGTTCTCTGGGGGTAAGACTGCACTATGCTGTCCAGAGACAACTTGCTCTGACTGGTCTGAAATTTCTCCTGAAGCTGGGTCTATGAGGTCATTTTGATGATGTGATTGTGATGACACATCAGGCTGACAAACTGGGATGTAAAGTTTATAAGAAAGGGAGGAAGGTGTGGGAAAACCTTCCTCTAATTTTGAGAAGTCCAAAACAGGTGGTGCTGATGGATTAGCTTTGTCCAAATGAAAGAGAGCAAAGGGAGACTTTCATCCTCTTCCTTTTGTGTATCAGCAGTTGGCTTTGAAAAACTTATTCCATCAGAATCTAGAAAAAAAGATTTGTTTTTGTTGCTTTCGGGAGTTTGTGAGATTAACTTGAGTAATTTGGGAGAGACCAAAGTGGGTGGAGAACAGATCTCTCTGTTAGCAGAGTGAGGTAAAGGAGGAGAAGTGGGATGCTGAGACGATATAGGACCAGAAGAAAAACTTTGTATTGAAGCGGGTGGAGACTGATCCGGATTTGGTACTGTTTCAGTGTTTGCAATTTGCAGGTCACAACTTGAGAGAGGCAGTGAGGCAGAAGCTATGGAAGAGCTCGAGTCTATAGTAGAATCTGGTGAAGGGCAGGGTGAGGAAGGGAGATATTTATTAAAACCACAAGAGGTCATTGTTGAGGCAGGGATGGGAGATTTGTCAGTATGAGGAGAAAAAGCAGAAGACTCTGGTTTCGCACTGTCCTGATTGTCACCACTCATTTCTGAAAACCCTGAGCGAGCCTGAAATCAAACAGGAAATACAGTCAAACATCTGAACATTCAAATGCTCTAAATATCCTAAATAGCAACTTAGTATACTCTACGATCTAGTGTCAGTGTTATGAATTAGGGTAGTGCGCTGCATTTCAATAAACTTGACAGACTGTGAGAAAAGTGAGACTGCATTGACAAGAGAAGAGACCTTGATGATTTCAGATCCTGGTGATGCCAAATGAGGGACCAGTGGTATAAAGGGTTCTTCTAGAAAGCCACTGCTGTCTGACTGGCAGCTGTTGGTCCGCATTACACCTCTCACTGCTCAAACAAATGAAGGAGGAATGAGAAGACAAAGAGAAGAGGACATGGAATTATATCCACAACTTATCAAAATCTCTGGTATTTGTCTCAACACTGGAATTTAAAAAGTTTTGAAAACATGTTGTGGGAAATCTGTTTTTTATTCCAAACTTTCTAGAGGTCTATTGTTCCCAGGCCAGCTAATAAAAACAATCTCTCCAGCATGTCCAGTGCCTGCCCCAGGATCAGACACCCTTCAGAGAAAGACATTTGCATACATAGTCTCATTCTTTCCATCAGCTCCCACAGCTCAGGGTCATAGGATGAACCGAGATCAGTCAACTCTTGCTAGTTGAATTGCTGCGATAATTGTATGGAGCTGAATATAATGGATTTAATTGTTTTTAACCCTTGTTCATTGTAGCTTTTTGTGTGTTTTTTGTGTGCACTGTTTTTTATAAGATTGTGACCTCACAAACTTTGAGTTTTTTGCAGGTTTCCTCCAGATTGGTCGAATCCATGTATATCCATGATATTTGGTACTTTGAACATATGTGCATGTCAAAACCCCGGTCCCAACAGCTTTTCCTTGCAGCAAATGACAGCAGCAACATTATTCTCTTGCGCCTTGTGGAGAGACCCTTAGCTTTGCTTGGCCTTGTGTCTGTGAGCTGGTTTCTTGCTAGTAGTTCTTGTGCTTAACTTACTCATTGTGTATATACACAGATCACTGAAACGTAAGAGCTGAACTGCTTTTTTGCTCTGAACACTTGTTCTCCTGTTGTTCATCTAGGGAGTTAGGTTTAGCATATGCCTTCTGTTTGTTTAGTTTTTTGCTTGTTTTTTTGTCACATAGGAATAAGGTAGCACAGCTCCTTGAAAGATAGCCGCTTTTGATTGTTGTTTTGGCATTGGTTCATCCTGGAGTCAGTTACTGGTATTGCTTGTGACCAAGTATGTATTAATAAACAATGTCTTTGACAGAAAATTACTGGTTAGACTCCACCTGTTTTGTGACCACAGTAGGGACTCTCTTTGAAGTTTATACATTCCCAGTGATGTGCAAGATGTCCTACTTATCCTTGGTCTTTGCTTCCTTCCAGGAAGGCATTTTAGTGCGAATCGGGAGATTCTCAAAGTATTCCCTTCACTGCCCTACCTTATATAAATGCCCTTAAGCTAAACATAATGTTTATTATAGACAAACTGAAAGAATCACAAAGGTTCAACAATAAAGACGAGACTCTGTACTCTCAGGATTTAGATTAGGCAGCTGTTCCTCCAATCACATCCCTCCAGTAGTCCAATCACACCGAAGTCGCCCAGTTTGACAATGGATGCCCCAGACCACTTTGATCTTGTAGTAGAAAATGAAAAACAGGAACTTTTTCTGTCATTTAATTGTTTATTGCTTAATTACTTTGTGTAGTATGAATGGCCATAGGGTGAATTTTTATCAGTAGGAAATGCTGTGAAACCTAGCAGATCAAACATGTTAAGAAATATTATTATTATTATTATTATTATTATTATTATTAATGCTCAATACTGAACTGAGACTTATTTTTATGCATTTACTACTAAGCTTAAATCCAAGCTCTCCATCTATCCTGCTCTCAAACCCTTGCTGTTTTAGTCAGATGTAGTCCAGTTTATTGTCCAGTGAGCAGACCACACAGTGGGAATTTAGGGACTGCTGCATCTTTGTTTTTACAGAGATGCAGCATGCAGCATTTTACAGAAGCATGGCTCAGTGACAGAGCTCCAGACACCACCATTCAGCTACACGGGCTCATTTCATTTCGTGCAGACAGAAATGCAGCTCTGTGCGGTAAGACTCCTGGTGGTGGCTTGTGTGTCTACATAAACTTGGAATGGTGCAAGAACTCTGTGCTTGTTTCTTACTACTGCTCTTTGTTGGTAGAGTTTAGGACTGTTAGATGCAGACCTTTTAACTTTCCTCGGAATTCACTGCGGTGTTCATTACAGCAGTGTAAATGCCACCCAGCACTAACGCTAAGGGGGCGAGCTGCAGAACTCACACCCGATGGACTGTTTATTATCGCCAGAGATTTCAACCACTCAAATCTCAAGTCACTGCTTCTGAAATTGCATCAACATGTGGACTTTGCGGTGAGGGGAAAAATGGGCTGGATCTTGTTATACAAACATTTCAGCATGTAGAGAGCAAAGTCTCGCCCCCACCTCAGATACTCAGACCACTTGTTATGCTATTACAGCATGCAGACCGCTCGTCAGACGCTGGAAACCAGTTCTGAACAGATGAAACTTGGCCTGCAGGAGCTCTCTCTGCTTTTCAGGACTGTTTTGAGCACAGTGACTGGGACATGTTCAGGGAAGCTCTATGAAATGGCG